GTGAGGCTTCCAGATCTGGTCATCTATTTCAAGGCTTGATTTGTTTTCTTCCATTGTCTCTCAAGTCTACAACCAATGATTCGTTTTATTTGCTCGCGGAGAGAAGCAGCAGGCGGGTACCGATGAGGTTCTGGAAGAGAGTTTAGCCAATGGGGTTCATTGAAATATGCGTTAGCTGTGTACCATATTAGTGTGGATTGTTTTTCACAAACTTTGGAGAGTAAAACGTATGCTATGTGGGCAAGGCTACAGCAATTATCCCCAGATGCTGTGTCAAACATTGTAATCAGCACGGTATACAGTGGAGCATTGTGTTTTATTTTTTAACACGTTATATATTTTCTAACTACGCATGCTCTATGCCTGCAATGTTCAAAGTATGCCGAGTGATAGCAAAAGTCGTGACATCTTTCAGTGTGCTATCAAAAATGGCAATACACGACAATAATTGCTTGCAGGCCAATTGTAGAGGTACTATAGTGGCGACCCGAGTTCTATTCCCGGTGATGAATGACATCAGTGGTGTGTTATATTTGAATCTGTTTTTGGCCTTCCTATTCATGAACCCCCCACTGAGCAGCATTGTGAAGTAAGGTCAAATAACATCATTAGACCTCCTTTGCCAGTACCAAAATATAATAGTAGGGTTTTTCCCTTTTTTTCTGGCAACAAAACTGAAACCTTTTTACGAGGATTCATGTCTGCATTAACCACAATACCTGCAGTCAAAATGCAAAAAAAAACATACTATGATAATATATGATGCATTGTCCTTGAAACTGATTGGTCCACACCAAGGGACGGCTTTCTTTTGCACCTCGACCCAATTGGTGCTCGACGAGATGACGCCAAAAGGCGTATTATATTAAGGTCAAATAAGCCCAATTACTGACACGACGTGGGGAGGTCTTCATCCAGCAGTGGAGTGATACAGAGCTGTTTATCAATAGTATTGCAACACTGCAACTCGCATTTGTATTCTCCATTTGCTTTCGTGTTTCATTATTTACACTGTATCTTCAACGTGCTGCTGTCGATTAATTTACAAACAATTTGAACAACGTCACTATTACTTAAAAAAAATGACAATTGGGTTTAAATTACACACACCACTGGTTTGCAATTACATTTAACCTGTCTATGTTGTTCTTAAGGGGAGCTCTTTGATTCAAATCTTTGAACAGAGAATGTTCACACTTTGCGCATGCATGCATTGCCTCTCCATAATGTGCCTTTTGTGAGCCGAACCGTCTCTCATAGCAACACTATATTATTTTTTCAAGTCAGTGTATGGGCTTTTATTTCAATGCCTGCTCGGAAACTCACAAACATCTCACAACATTTTGATATTCTCGTTAAATAAAGGAAACGTATTCTTAGATGTGTTTACCAAGGCATATCTCACCGAGTGGCAAGACCTTTTTTCAAGAGGGTCCTGCTGATTTTTCACAGTAGGGGTGTGCGACAGTTGCTTCGTGTTTCCCAATTAAGTCATTTCCAAGTATATGCAAATATTTAAAAAAATAAGCCCTGATACCAGCACACACGTCCGACTCTTTTTAGAATAACGTTACGGGATTTTTACTATCCACTGTTACGCAGGCGGCGCTTATTTTATTTTTGTTGTTGTTGTCATTAACATGCCCGATGAATTAACTAGGGCGGCCGTGGGCTCGAACCGCGAAGCACTGCAAAAAGCGGCAATGTCACCACCCTTTCAATACCAAAACCCAGATCGGTGTAGTTTCTGGGCAAGGTAGGCCATGATTTACATTACACAAAAACGCATTTGGCTAATGTCGCATGCCGCACATGTAACGTGTGTGGGTACGTCTTTACGCGTGCGCCAAACGGACACGGCGGGAGATGGTATTCTGCCCTACAGTGATGCAGCCTATCTCGCCAAGAGGGCGCCATCCCGCACTATTGAGAGAAGGCATCATCACTCACTTGTTATAGATGTATATCAGTATGACTCATATCTTTTATTTAGGGTATATTAGCTCATAGGCTTGTGTGTAAGGGGAGTTGTGTGAATATACTTCACTATGTTGGTTACTTCTTCACTGTGCCGTGCAGATTGGTAAAAGGAGCACATTTTGTCCCTTTACTTTATTCTTTATTGGTTGTGCTTGGGATATATTATCATTTATATTATGTAATGTACTCGGCCTCCTTTCTTCCACCATGCTTTCATAATTCGACGTCTTCACTCAATCTGCTGTTGTGTTACCTAAAACATTTGTAAAAATATATTTTTTATCGTTTCACAGAGTTCTGTGTGGGTCGACATTAAACAAATTGTTTGGTGATGCTGCATCGACAGCGGTGCCAAGCGCAATTAACATAACGCGCAACATACTCGTCAACAACACTGCCTAAAAGAAAAAATATATATATAATCGGCGACGTTCTGGGCAATAATCCTTTTTCTTCATAGAAGGGCCATTGGTTTATGCGCTGTGAAGAAGGGCCATTACCCGAAACGTCACCGATTATATGTTTCTCCTTTAAGGTAGTGTTAATTGACGAGTGTGTTGAGTTTTTGGTGTAGATTGTAGGTTGACGATTTTCCAGTCGCAACTGGTTAGCCCTTGAAAAGACAGAAGGAACCACAGCACGCGATAGAGATAGGATCTAAAAATTGTGTGCAGGAATGCTATGCAAATCACTCCAGAAAGAAGTCATATATCCCATGATTCTAACCATTTTTCAGATAAAGAGGAGGAAATTCCACATGTCGCACGGTATTATTTTCTGCGCTTGTTTACCCAGGAAAGCCTCACTGAGTCTCAACTCTTTTTATGGAGGGTTCTCTTACGTTTTTCTGACTTGTCCCTATTGTAAATCTGTGAAAAAGAGCTTTATAGCTCATACTGGTAGGAACGAAGTTGTAAACTGAGTGTACCAGCCTGCAATAGATTAATGTGTCCGTCCGTCCGTCCCCTTTCAATACTTTAACGAAGTGAAATCTCGTGCTGTTGGGTGTAAAATCAGCAATAGAAAGCGCAGAGACTTGATATGTCTTATTGCACCCAACATTTGGAAGTAACAATGTCATAAAATTGCGCAAAATTCCAATGTTCCTACCAGCCCACCCTGCAGGGACCTGTTCGGATGCCTCCAGTATAAATACATATTCTGATTCTGGTTTTGTAGTAGGTGACAATGTTGCTATATGCGATCGCAATTAAGTAATTTGTTTAGAATTTTACAGCAGGAGAGCGTTTGGCTAAATTCCATTTCTATTGTATATTGTTAGCTATGGTAGGAAACCAGAGAACCCAAAGCAACCCCATGTAGGGCAGGGGGAGAATCAAACGCCGTACATACAAACTCCAGGAGATGAACCCAGGTTCGTATTGCTGAAAGACACACGTGTTACCATTGTGCCAGCGTTAAATGAGTAAACATTTCCCCTCGCAGTATGAATAAAGATACATTTCCTGTACCAGAATAAATTACTGTGGACATCATCAAACAAACAGGGCCAGATGTTAGAACAAAATGAGTGTGACCAATTTACTAAATGTTTACACAGAAATGAAATAATTCAAAGAAGAAATGATGGGTAAACATTTCTCGATTCAACAGGGTAGCCAAAACTGGCTTGAAGAATTACAGAACCCAGGAGCCTATTATTGCATGTTCATAAATTGTTTATGGCTACCATTGGAAATATAAGAATGAACAAAATATAGGCCACGCAGCAACGTGAGCAAAGCAAAATTTAGGTCCAGTTTTTTTTTCCCTCATTAGATTTTGGTAGACGAATTAATATTAAAGTCCGTTATGCTTCGCCTTTGCAGGCTTTGAAAATACATTTGACGCTAGGTGGAAATTGATGCAGCAATCCAAGTGCTCACAAACCTCTTGTACAAAAAAAAAACATTTTGAAATAATGAAAAAAAATGTGCAAGAATTGGAACGACTACACTGAGATTTTATGAAGTAAGCAACATAGTACATTTCAGAAGGGGAGTCAGAATTCCAACCATGTAATCAACAGCCAATTTGAAGATATTTTAGAATCATTAGATTGTAAAATATCTTTATTATGTTTAATTTGTATTATTTTATTATTTACCTTCTACGTGACTTTATCGAAAGAACCAAGAATATGAATCCCTGCAGTCACGAAAGCTTTAAATTGAAATCGAACAGGAATTGATTGTGAATAACTTCACGAATAACGCTCCGAAGTCGGGCTCAATATAAACATGAGCAAGAGCAATGTACTTATATTACAAGTTTGTATCACAGATCAAGATATCTGTAAGAGGGACATACCTAGAGTATGCATACCTATGCAGTTGTTGAAGGTGGATTAGAATAAAAATGATTAATTAAGTGGCAGACGAGAGTGGGTTGGAGTGCTTTTTAAAAAAAACTGAAGTTGGAATGCAAAGCAGCAGACCAATGTAAATGAAATGAAAGTGCGTATCACCCGATGTGATATGGATCATAAACATGGATACTGATAAATAATATGAAACAAAAGCAGAAAAGTGTGCAAAGCATGGAGCCATGCATTGCTGGGAATACCACCACTGGCTGAGAGCTATTATTTTGACTGTTAGTTAAAAAAAGTGGGCTTAGGTAGACTGCATTGCTAGATGCAATGATTGGCCAATGGTCGAGACTAAAAACGGAATGGCAGCCGAAGGTGTTTAACAATATAACCACGTCACGATAATGGAACCAACTCAATGCTCGCTTGCCATATGTGACATTATTTGCACAGATCTGGCAATGAGCCCTGCATGGTGGCCAGGAGATGGCAGTGCAACATTAAATTGAATCCATCTGTGCGGAACTTTGAGAATGATCCCCTTGTAATGTGCGGGTTTCCCCCAGGAACCCCAGTCTTCCTCCCACATGCCACCATACCTCACCAACGCTTTCTACCCTATCCCACTGATGCTGCACAGCAGACGCGCGGCGTTCAATGTTTACCCTAAGAGAAAGGGGATTATGATTATTACAGTTCAGTAACTTACCCAGCGGCAGGACCAAGAAGAATGGAAACCAGCAGAGGACAAAGACCCCCACGACAATGCCCACGGTCTTCGCCGCTTTCTTCTCTCGGGAGAACTTGAGGATCCTGACAGACAGGGACCCCCGCAGGTGATGGGGCCCCTTGGCCGAGCCGTCATCCCGGCCACGGTGGATGCGCAGGGTGACCTCTCTCATGTTGGCCCTGGCCCTCTTGACCCCGGCCTTGAGGCTTTCGGTTTGCCTCTTGGCCGCGGTGTAGACCTTGCAGTACATGCCCAGGATGACGCACATGGGGATGTAGAAGGACAGCATGGACGAGAAGAGCGCATAGCCTGGCTCCTCGGTGATGCTGCAGATAGTCTCGTCATCCGGTGGAGGCTCCTTCCAGCCGAGCAGAGGCCCCACGGAGATGACGATGGACAGCACCCACACGCTGACCAGCACGAACAAGGCCCGCTGCTCGGTCATGATGGCCGGGTAACGCAGGGGATACCCGACGCCCACGTAGCGGTCCACGGAGATGACGCACAGGCTCATGATGGACGCCGAGCAGCAGAGCACGTCCACCGCAGCCCACACGTCGCAGAAGGGCCGCCCGAAAGCCCAGTAGCCCATCACCTCGAGGGCGGCGGAGAAGGGTAACACGGTTGTGCTCAGCAGGAGGTCCGCCAGGGCCAGGTTGGCAATAAAGTAGTTGGTGACCGTGCGCAGGTGCCTGTTGCAGAACACCGAGAGGATGACCAGAACGTTGCCCGCGATGGCGAAGACGATGAAGGAGCCGAGCGTCAACACGAGACCCACGACGCGAGCTTGATCCTGCAGCAGCAGCTGCAGCAGCTGCTGCTGAGGAGGTTGAGAGGTGCCATTCGCGTCTGGGGCCGGGGTCACTGCTGAAATTGTCAGCGGGGCGTTGGTGACACCCCAGGAGGAGTTCTTCATCTTGGCCGGGAAGGCGAGCTCATCCTCTACCCGATGGAGATTCCACGCGCGCACGGCTCGCCTGCACGCTGCGCACGGGGGTCCTTGACAAGAGAAACAAACACACATATATACAAATATATATACAAAATATATATACAAATATATCTCTGTGTGGTTAATTGGGGGGAAAAAAACCCGAAGGATATGAATTGCGAGCTATAATTGGCACATTTTGTTAGTTGAACACGTAGGCTTTCGCGACCATATTATCCATAAGAGGTTTTTTTGTTTTGTTTTATCAATGTAAGCGCTACCGTGAAAGAAGTGAAACCACTTTGGAACGCGCCGGATCTCGGAAGGTCGGCAGGCGTTGAGGTTGGATAGTGCGAGGGTGGATGCGTGACCGCGGCCGTGCGAACACGACAGTTGCAGTAGGCGCCTCGGGCAGTAGAGGGCAGCGCATCAGCGGCAACAGCGAAACCAATCCCATTGTTAAATTTCGATTTAAAGCTTTTGTGACTGCAAGGATTCATCTTCTTTGGTTCTTTCGGTAAAGTCACGTAGAAATGAGAATAAAATGATAAATTGATAAAATAAAATAACACAATAAAATTCTCACGACGTTTCGGCCACAACACAAGCGGCATTCATCAGGTGAAGGGACGAGACCTGTCTGGAGGACAGCGCTGGAGCGTCCCTTCACCTGATGAAGGCCGCTTGTGTTGTGGCCGAAACGTCGTGAGAATTTTATTGTGTTATTTTATCAATTTATTATTTTATTCTCATTCTACGTGACTTTACCGAAAGAACCAAAGAAGATCAATCCCATTGTTTGTTTTTGCATTCCACCCATCCACATCTTCACACCGAGGGCGCACTGCCCAGCGTGAAGGATGGTCGCGTGGTGGTGGAGGGGGCAGCCCTGGAATCCATCACGTGTACTGCACGGTTACTGTATTGATGTGGCTTCGTGTTCACTCCCACACAGGGTAGCAACGCGTGCGAGAGTTGGTGCTCATGAGTTCCATACCTGCAACTGGGCGGAAGGTCACTTGTCCAAACGAATGTGTAGCTCGGTAGTAGGCAGTGACGATGGCAGACGTGAAGTTTTTTTTCTTTTACAATACCGATATAGTAGTCGTAGTAGGAGTCAAGCATCAAATAACTTGTGACTCCTTCAGGTACATGCCTGCGAACCGGACGCAGATGACTTCTTCAGCGCGTAAATGTAAGACGTGGTCGTGTTGGTATTTTTTAACTGTATTGTAGGCTTGGTATTATTCTTCGTGCAAAGCCACGGTGAAGCGGTATACATTAATCCTGTAATCTGAAATATAATTCACTTGAAAACTTATTTTGCTTCATTTAGAAATAAAGCCACTGCTGGTTAATGTATCTGTTAATTGGATTTGGCAGGACAAAGCGCGCCTCTGAAATCTTCTCACTCGCTGAACGTGTAGGAGCTCCAAATTCCTTTACATGTTAATTTCCTTTCACAATAACTGACGTTTGTTTTTTTTGATAGCACTGGTCTTCCTCGGTAGATCCTTTACTTCGCATTTCCTACGATCGTTTGAAATGTCTCAAAAAAATGTGTGCGTTATTCCCAGTTTCCAATAATATATATAATTTAATATTTTAATCAGCGACTTTGATCTTGAGCGAGAGAGCACGCGTCAGTCACATCGGGTGCATGTTTTGTGGTCACTGGTTCGTTGCCTGGAGTTATGTAAGTTTTTATTTATCGCTGTTTACAAGAAAGTCCGTCTCCAAGTTTATAATGATCATTGATTCGCAAGTCCATCCCTGCACGACTGAGAGAGAGAGAGAAAAACCGGACCGTTCTAAGCACCCGCATTGAATCAGCTGCAGACGAGACAGACGAGTGAATTACCTTCATTGAGCAGGGCGCATTGCAACAAAGAGGAGGGACGGTAGGCAATTACTGCAGACGATGCTTTGTCCTCTAAGAAACGTCAGCTCGCAAAACTTCAGCACGTTGTTGAATTCCCCCCTACCATTACCCCCCGACGAATCCCCGGCGCCGACTGGGCTATTGTTTTTCCTTCTTCTCCAAGAATGAAGCCGAAACTTTGCTCCTCCTACGCGGGTTCCCGGCAGCGTGGAGGAGGAGATGATGCAGATGAAGAGATGGACTGAGCCGAAGTTCTTTGCAGGATGGCGCTCGAGGGAGGGAATGGGAGCGAGAGGCAAGTGGGAAGGAAAGAGCAGGGGGTCTGCCTGGGAACGGCCAGGGAATGTGGGAGGGTTGGGGGGGGTGAGATGATGACGTCCGATTTGAAGCAGGGATCAGAAAAGCACCCCGTGGGATGGAGAGAGAGAGAGGGCGATGGAGCGAGTCTCGGGGAATAAATGTGACTCGCATAAGACCATGAGTTCTATTCGAGCGAGGAAAGAAAAACACCTGTCAGTCTTGGAATGACAACCTGTATGTTTAGCTTGGTGCACCAAACTTCGGAAACGCCAAGATCACATTCTCGTATTTAGATTTGGAAGCCTTACGGTATATCAATGGAGCGATTAGCCACGCCGTTTCAACCATGGTGAGTTGCTTGACCACACTGTGAACCATGCTGGTCAGTGCAGTTGGGTGGAGGGCTGGTTCAGATATCACTCGCCACTGATGTTAGCCGTGGGAAGAAACCAAACTCGGATCGCGAGGTTCCATAGTGCAGTGCGCTAACCACTATGCCACCTTGCCACATGATTGAGATTAAGCACCCATATTAAACACACATTTTCTCACAGCGTAGTAGTTATTCTATTTAGAAATCATTCAGTGGTCATACATCAATGAGATAACTTCGGTTTTTTTTACTGCTGCATGTTTTAAAATCCTCGTGGGGTACTCCATTCAGCTTATGTGCTATGTGTTTTTTTTGTTTCGTTAAGAGTCGCTGCTCAGAGTTGATGGTGAAACGAGTATATTGCCTGGTTCAGAATACCCTTCGTTGACTTTGTGGGAACACTCATCTTAAAAATACGACAAGAGAGAAAGCAACAGCCAGCTTGCTGTACTGCACTGCTCACATGACACAGGCCGACTCCAACCTGAATGGAGAGGTGAAGGCAGTTACTTTTAGAATTACAAAACAACAATAATGCAATTTTATAACGCACACAATGCAATATGTCGCAGACAAATGACCGTGACTTTGAGGGTGCCACCTAAAATCCAAACCTCTTTTCGATTTTGCAGTTTTACATTGCAAAAAAATTAGCGTAATTACACATTGCTTAATGAGCTTTCTGTCTAATTATTCAGACCGGATTACATCTTTTAAATATGTGTTGTAACAATTCTCGTTTATGTAAAAATAATATTGATTGTCTTTTAAAAGAATGCGGTACCCAGCGCGAGCTATATTGGTTGCCTATGAGCATTGTAATCGAGTGCCGTAACAATTCCCAGTGAGGTTATTCGGGTGACTCAGAGATCAGAGAGCACCGTGCCAGGACCGTTGAGATGGAAGAAAAACACCTTGTGGATTAAACTGGGCTTTCTTGCGTAGCGAATTGGTGGGCTACACGCACACAAACACATCATATGTAATTGTGTTTACCACTTAATTTGTTATATCCCAGCTCTGAGAATTGAAAACCGTAGGTCTACTGAAGCAGTTGCATACGCAGTGATGTGACGTCGTTCAGGGTCATTCTCTGACACAGGGTGATGTACTGCTAGCTGTAAGAGTTTCAAACATAATTTTATTTTTCTCATTATATTATTCCTATTATTGGGAAAGGGGGTAGGGACGCAAAACACATTGATGACAATGGGGTTTGTCAGTTAGCTTACATGCATTTAAATGAGAGATCTCACCATGCCAATACTACACATTTTCGAAGGACAACTGCCAGTTTAACACGTCGGCTTTCGCGACCACATTTATATTTACGCGATGTAACCCAAACCCCCCCCCCCCCCCCGTTATTATGGAAGGACAATGTGTTGCAGTCCCACACCTCCCATTAGCACGGTTAACTACGTATGCTGCGAAAGACGTTCACCATACAATACAAACAATGTTAAGGCATATTCTTGGTTCTTTCGGTAAAGTCACGTAGAAGGGAAACAATAAAATAATCATCATCATCATCAGGTGTGAAAACCACAGCAAGAAAATCTTGGACTCTTGAGTGAACTCAAGAGTCCAAGATAAAGTCCGACTCGCTACGTTTGTCCTGGGTCACCGAAATGACAAAAATATAACGCAGCAGGCAAAATGGGACACAATCAGAGCAGAAAATGCATACCCATATGGCATGAGCAAATGTTTTCTGTTTGAAACAATTCTGTGTGGATGACAGCAAGGTTGCATATATTATGTACACTTCAAAGGTTTCAAAAGAAAACAGCTGTTACGTGTTTTGCAAGCCCCGTGGGATTTAATGTTGGGTGGTAAATCGTGGGGGACCTTATGGATGGATTGCCGTCAATGGTGTCACGATGGCAGAAAATATGAACACATTACAAGTGTCAAGTGAGCACATTTGTTATACAATAAAGACTTTGAATGTGGCAAAATAGAATTCAAAAGAGGATTATTTAATTATAGCTTTACTCTCCGCTTCTAGAGTCATTCTAATGCATCATCTGTCAATATAAACTGTCTTTTGATCCTCTTAAAAATAATTCCATATACCTACTTTACATTCGAAGTTGTAAATCATTGTTAACATCTGGGCTGTACATGCCAATGATCTGCTTTAGAATGCATCCCTCTACATTGAAAAACAACAATGATTTTTTTTTAAATCACATGTATGCATTTGACTTTTAAATACTTACACAGAGCATCCATTTTGTATGAAGGCCTCCCCACGCCTTGCGGGTTCTGATGCTGATTTAACTTAACCATGCTGATCATTATCATTTGGTGAAGGTACGGATCATAGGTACGGGAGCATAGGAATACAGTACACCAATTGAAGTATATGCATTGCCTTCTGCTGGAACATCACAACATAGTCTCACATCCAACCACTATCGAGGAAAAAGCCTGCTTGGCTTCTGAGATCTGGCCAGATGGGGAGCATTCCTGGTACTTTGATCAACACGGCCGAATAGAGGGTCGTCGTTATAGCTGTGCGAAAATGTGGCCTTGCTAACACAATTCTTTAATTAATAGTGTTTGAGGCAGTGGTTGGGAGTTGCCTGCTTGAAAGTGGTCCACTACCACGTGACAGGCAGGTAGGTATCTTCAACAGTCCACACCGACTCGCGTGGTAACGTGTAGACCCACTGGTAGTGAAGACTGAATCACAGTCCTCAGTCACTTGCGCAACTTTTATTTCACCAAACATGACATCGGCAGGGTAGGTGAACAAGCAGGGGAGTGTTACGAATCATTGGGGATGAACAGGATAATTTTCTGACTGTGCATAATACAGGATTTTTGGGGGGTTAGATCGTCTAAATCTTTAAATGTGTTGTTAAACCCATCACCACCCGACACAGCCAATTAGTAAGAGTTGTCACGTAAACAGAACGTGCCAATTCGTCACTTGTACAGCACACCGGTGTATTGGAGAGCCAAACCACAACCAGATAATCTGGCTGTCACCTGATGAAGCTAGTTATAATTACTGGCGAAACGTCGTACTAAAATTGTAAATGATGTGGCTTTGCTCTCCCACACAACTCTTACTAATTGGCTGTGTCGGGTGGTGGCGGGTTTTACGACACATTTTTATATTTAGACGATCTAACCCAAAAAACAACCTGTATAATGGATGATATTTGTTGCGAAAGCTGCGTGTTAAACTTTCTCACTGAGACTCTTGCTAGATTCAACACCCAGACTCTGATTTGGAGCTGGTGGAATGTTGCATAATTAGACCGAGGGATGGCGATATCTTGGGGAGACCTTCATCCAGCAGTAGATAGATCATTGCTGCTGCCCCTGATGATTATGATGATTATGAGTGAAGTATCATATAATGCTGTCATTATGGCAACATGATACAGTGCTTGTATGCTGTTACATAACAGTATACATTTTGTCGTATGTAGGGAAAGCAGGTTATGATTCTTTTGCGATTTAATCTGATGAACGTTTTTGATGCCATTTGTACATTTGGGTTACGTTCTGTGCACAACAACAATTGAGTGCTCAAGAAGTAAATTAAACGTGGCCTTTTCATTTCGTTTTGTCAACCACGCAGGTAATTTAAGCCAAACAATTATGTCTGTGCTCGGTTTTCTCTCTCTCCCAATTATGTTCATGAAAGGAGTAAAAGCTCTGCTGTTATCATGCGTGCATGGAAGCACTTTGGAGGCATGCGTACTTGCACGCATGCCTCCACAGTCAGCATAATCTGCTGGCAGCACATACACACAACTTTTTTTGTTGAAACCTCTTCGCACTAATTTTATAATCCAGACCATACAAACAGTTTGGCCTAAAAAGGGAATTTAAAACGTAATTTTCACTTTGTTTTGTTGCTAAATCCATTGAGCGTTAATATGTATTCATAAGCTGCGTTAAAACACATCCATAATCAGTACATATCGTTTGTGTGAGGTTGGTTTTAAATATAGCTAGGGTTTTGGTTTGAAGGAGTGGGGACGAGTTGATATTATAAAGCAATAATTATAATTCCGTAGTCCAGGCAGTAGATGCAGCAAAGTTGCATATTCCAACTTTTATCACGATGAGATTGGAAGGTTTAAAGAGGAGGCAGTTTTTTTCCTGAGATGGAGCGAGTGGGAGAGCAGCAGAGATTAAATCAGAGAAATTAGTTCAAGCAAGGTTAAGAACAATTCTCCCCAGAGATATATCTGTGAAGCATATACAGCAAAATATAAATATGCATCAATGTTTTCCTTTGTTGTACTATGTGTAGGATGCACCATTTCCAAACTGCCCCATGCCTATAAAGCCTTGCAGATTTCGTTACTCTGCTCTTTGCATTTAAAGTCTGCATGCTGGATCCCTTTCTGTAATGTAAAGCTTGATATACTTTGTTGTCCAAGCTGGATTTAATAGGATATGTTTTAACCGTTATTGTATTCACATTTTTGGAGATCAATCCCGAGCTAGCGCTTGAACAAAAGCACAACCCAGAGTTTGTAATAACTCTCCAGCAGGAAGTTGGCAGAACTAGAGGCTTGTTGATGGGAGATACAAAACCCCCTTGACTTAGAGTGTACAACCTCAACTACTGTGGTCCTGGCAACGTTTCTTAGTCTGAGACTGAAGTTTCTAAACTTAATTGACAGCACTGATTGATGACTCATTGGCCAAGTTCAATTGCAACAAATGTGTCTTTTCATCGTGTGATTATATATCGTTACTGAATTGAATCAATAATGAGAAACTCGAAACTGTTATTAAGTAACACATTTAAATGTGGCGATTAAATTGCTGGCATACTTGCTATATTAATACAACATGTATACAGAATTTCCATATTCATTAAGCCAATAAATATACCAATGTATCATACTTCTGTACCTGGACAGCCCTTTCTCAATCTATTGTTG